TGGACATATACCACGGTCTAGTGTATACAACAGATATGTCACTTACAGTGTGTAATATACTGAGTCTGGAGCAGACAAGGTGGACATATACCACGGTCTAGTGTATACAACAGATATGTCACTTACAGTGTGTAATATACTGAGTCTGGAGCAGACAAGGTGGACATATACCACGGTCTAGTGTATACAACAGATATGTCACTTACAGTGTGTAATATACTGAGTCTGGAGCAGACAAGGTGGACATATACCACGGTCTAGTGTATACAACAGATATGTCACTTACAGTGTGTAATATACTGAGTCTGGAGCAGACAATGTGGATACATACCACAGCCTGGTATATGCAAAGGATATGTCCCAGCATGTAATATATATGTGTCTACACCGAATACATCACTCACACTATGTACCTACCCCCAACCAGCGCCCTCACACTACCCCCACCTACCCCCAACCAGCGCCCTACCCCCATCCAGCACCCTAACCCCAACCAGGCCCCTACCACCAACCAGCACCTTATCCCCATCCAGCATCCTACCCCCAATCAGCCCCTACCCCATCCAACGCTTTACCCCCATCCAGCGTCCTACCCCCAACCAGCACCCGACCCCCATCCAGCACCCTACCCCCAACCAGCCCCATCCATACCCAATATAACATCCTATCCCAAGTGGTGAAAACCTTGGGCTGCATAAACAAGAAACATCTTCACTTCACAGGCCAGACACACAAAAATTCCTAAATGCAAAAAGTCTTCACTATTACACGATGTCTTTTCTCACCCTTTCACTATTCAAATATCGGTGTGTATATATGACAAAATGACAACTCTCGCTATCTGAAACACTTTCTGCGTGAATTATAACTTCAACACAGCCCACAAACACACACATTTGACGTCTCCCCTCAGAGTCTTACAACGAGGGAGGGCAGTATCATGTTACACACAGCCCCCAAGTCTCCTGGTTGGAGAGATGGGATGCTTCTGATTTTTTTCACTCTTTACTTTCTGACTCGTGTTTCCTGCAAATGTCTAACCCGATTACAGCAACTGTACTCTCCTCTGAGTTATGATCATTACGTCCAAAGTTACTGTCATGCATATTTAGGCGCCTGTCACCAGGGTGAGGGAAGAGACCCTCCCAAATGGGGAGGTGGTCAGAGTTCAGCCAGTACACAGTCTCTGTCAACAGTCAGGGCTACAGGGACACAGGCAGTACGCCACAACCTGTCTGCCAGTCTCGGGAGGCAAGGTCAGTCGGGGTTAAAACCCCATACTTAAAAAGACCAACCCTTGTATACCAGTATCAGATATCAAACACCGGGCTGTATTTTGGCTTAATACTGAGAGCTACTCAGACCCTGGACTAAACACCCTGAGAGTGGTATCATGTTTCTCCGAGATCTCAGACTACCTGTAATGTGATCAGAACACCTTAATTTCAACTCTGGATACAAACTCAAGCTCTTCAATATTAAACCTTTTAATGTGAAACTTAAACAGTGAGTGTTTCAAGACTGGATCTCGAAATCCAAGCCGAGAGAGTTATCTGGGTCCTACATACTAGGTGGTAGACACCTGCACCTCGAGGTCAGACTGGGCCCAGCTGCAGATATCAGCAGTTGATATCAGGGGACTTCACCTCTGTATCTGATACGTTGCAACACAACTTCATTACCCACGATTCATTAGGGACCGGGTGTTATTATCTGTGGCAGTAGTGGTATCTAGTGCACCGTGGAATGTTAAGGTCATCTTCCTGTCACAAGCACTGCTCATGTTGACCATAACTGACCTCAAGACCAATAGTCCATGTACTACCCAAGAAGTCAGTGCAACATTCCCATAGTGTGTGGAATACATATGTTGTACAATGTGGAGGTGTGTTGTACAGTGTGGAGGTGTGTTGTACAGTGTGGAGGTGTGTTGTCCAGTGTGGAGGTGTGTTGTCCAGTGTGGAGGTGTGTTGTACAGTGTTTTTTGAACATTGAGGAGGTGTCTTGTACATTGTGGAGGTGTCTTGTACATTGTGGAGGTGTGTTGTATAGAGTGGAGTTGTGGTTAAGATTGTAGATGTATAAACAGTATATATACTGGGAGTTTATACCCCAGCTAAATGTGCATGGATCCTCTGCAGCTGATATATATTATACATTTATACAATATGTGGCATTTATACAATGAGTTGCATTTCTTACAGTAATGTGTATATCTGACTACTCTCCTGATATTTGATTGCCTGATGTACACATACATAAGTATTCAGTATCTTCAAGGACATGTACCAGCAACATCATCAACCGTAGCTGCTGCTGTCTCCATGTGTGCAGCTGGAGGACTGATGCACCCTTTCCACCACCCTCACCCAGGAGACAGTATCATCCACTGCAACACCTCCAGTGTCAGACATCTTCTACAAGCCTTCTTTCAACATGCCAATACTTGCACACATAAACTCGTCACGAGTTAATTATTCATCAGCAGGTTACATTTTACTACATTTCAAGCAGAACATTGAAAAATAAACACTTTTGTAGCTGTCCAGTGTTGTCTCCCTTGATGCTGCTGTTTGCCGAACGTGTGGTGACATAATAGTCACAAATGTAGAAACTTTTAACAATCTTTTAACTTAGCTACATCAGCTCCAAAGCCTCCATCAGAGTTACATCTTGACAGTATTGTCACACAAACACATCTAACGCCCAATACACGTCTCAGACTGGATGCTGTAGTCATGGCTTAAAAAGGACACAGTAATTTAGCATGGAGGCTTAAACTGATGCTCAAACAAGGACTTCCACAGGTAAACACTTCATTTATGTAATTCCTATTGATGTATCGGCTATGAATATCATTGACAACAGCACACGGCATCGTAACCTGCCTTCCACCACGTTGCCCTTTGAACTAGAGTCAGATCATGCCAACAAACTCTTTCAATTCTGGAAACTGGCTGACCTAAGATAGTGTAAAAATTAGACTGTTACAACCTTATGTACAATACATTTGTACCATCTCATGAGCAATATCTATTATCACCTTCCAAACAAATAACTGTTATAAACTTATGAACAATATATACTGTTAGTACCTGACAAACAGTAACACATTATAACCTTACGAAATCAATAACCAAACAAAAACAAAAGTATTATCAAGTTACGAGAAATAAACTGTTATACTTCTACAAACAATAAATTGTTGTACCTTCTGAACAATAGTTATAACCTGTTGAATTGTTATAACCTTACAATTACATGGTATAACCTTCCAAACAATAAAATGTTATTGCCATTATAACCCATTCAACAATAAGTTGTAATAACCTTACAAACAATAAGTCACTGCTACCTTACAACTTATTACAAACATTCAGCCATCATCACTACCTCAGCTCCAGTAACGATGACACATCCATCAGGATCTAGCAAACAATCTCCCTACAGGAGACACACTAAAGGGCAGAAAGGACGTGAACCAGTAACTCCAATATGTATATAATCAACATCGGAGCTAGCAGCTCAGACAAAAGCTACAATCATCAAGTCCAATCACAACAACAAACCCTGACGAGAATTAATAACTGCCTCAAATACAGTTTCATCAGGAGAGAAATGGTTGTACACACACGGCGACTAGCGTACCGTGGAGAACTGCCAATGCAATGGCCCCTGGTGTGTGAGGGACCACCTATGTCCCCCGACTCGTCGGAGCGTGACGGAAACAGCAAGCTTTCCAATACCAGCTAACAACAGGCCAATGTCAACAAATAGCTTGTTTGCCCATACGTTACCAAAGCACCACCAAATACACGACTGAAACAGCTCATTGACACGATTCTTTATCATTTGAGGACCAATTTGTTAAAGAAACAAATGGTCCCATTTACACATCTGGGAAAAAATAATATCTTTGAGAGATGAGAATGTTTGGTCATTAGCAACTTCTTCACATGAATCAAGTATTAAGGGTTGTATCACTGAAATTTGACATTATAACGTGAACTGACCTGCAACCCAAGTCACTTACAAATATTCAGTTCTGAAATACTAGATAAAGAAAACCAACATATAAGAACACCCAGAGCCATAGTTGGGGCAAAAGCCGGAGCCATAGTCGGGGCAACAGCCGGAGCCATAGTCAGGGGCAACAGCCGGAGCAATAGCCAGAGCCACAGCTGGAGCAATAGCCAGAGCAAGAGCCAGAGCAATAGCCAGAGCAATAGCCAGAGCCACAGCCAGAGCCACAGCCGGAGCAATAGCCAGAGCAAGAGCCAGAGCAATAGCCAGAGCTATAGCTCAACATGGAAGACCTCCTCTGTCTTGTCTCCGACAGCTTGGTGCCTTCCAGCTGCCACTAAGCCTTCAGTGTAAAACATTTGATGGCAATAAGTAATGATTACTTACAGTTTGGTGAGCTTGGACAGCCCGATAAAGGAACCATTCCGCAGAATGGTAAGCTGATTCTTCTTTAAATCCCTGCAATAAACACAGAGAGAGTTGATTACATGCAAGCCAGTGGATACCAATCAATGGCTGCCACAATATCACAAACACTTTAACAGAATCAATCCTGTGTCGAGATAAAATGTACTTCAAACTGTCGTGTTGACTGTAGGTGCCATGGTGCTAGTGTGGACTGAAAACTGACGACTATTAGCCAGTTGAGCCAGTCAAAACCCCAGTCTATACCTTTTGTGTGTTGAAATTTGAAACTGATCTTAAAAACTAAACTGGCCAAGATTCTTTGATCGAGCATACTTGAAAATTGAGAGGTCTGATTTGCTGAATTCAGTTTATATTTGCTTCCCTGAGAATGACTACTTCCACACACCTGGTCATGCTAATCAACATGCAAGTTTTGTCAGCCATGTCACGACACATGCTGAGATATTGTCATCTGCACTTCAGTTCTACAGTTATGTTGCTCAGTGTGAGCGAGTGAGTTTGGTTTTATGCCATTTTTAGCAATATTCTAGCAATATCACAGCGGCGAGCACCAGAAAAGGGCTGTGGGTAATCGAAGCCAGGTCTTCGGCGTGGCAAGCGAACGCTTTAACCACTAGGCTACCCTACTGCCCCTATGTATAATGCTCAGAAGAAGTAGAGATTAACCTGAAATATTTGATACCCTAAACCACGATAACAAACCCCATCCCCCATTTGCTATCCTAAACCACAATAACCACCCCACCCCCCAAAAAAGCCAAAACAAAAAACAACAACCAAAAACCAAGTCTCCCCCCTCTACTGACTGAGACCTGTGGCACCTGCAAGGTAGGTTGTGTTTGAGACAATATCGATTATTTCAACATCAGCTACAGAAGCCACCACTATGAACATGGACAAGCTGGAAATAACATCAGTCACTACAAAAATATTCACCATGATGGTAACTGGATTAATGAAAACAATTTCTGTGGATTATTGCTGACTAATTATTTAGATTGCCATTTTTAATGAGTGTCGGCACTGTGGTGTTTACTAGTAAATATCCTGCCTGTACATATGTTGCAGTAGGCTGGAAGATAAGCACAGTTGCAGTTTTTAACATTAATCCTCTCCTAAAGCCACTAAATATCAGCCCCTACCCTAGTCTGTCGTACAGACCCTGAAGTAAATATATCCAAGAAAGCCCACTCAAGTCTAGAAAATGTGGCAAGTCTAGATTTCCTCAGCTTCTGAAAATGGAGAGAGTCTCAGGGCTCCTTTTCATTTTATTATATTTTATTACTATGAACTTTTTTCAGTAAAATATGTTACATTTCAGAGACTAGTTGTTAGTCTACTCCTAACCTAACCGCTACACTATCTTCTCTGTTTTATCAGCCTAAAAGTACAAATTTCAACTAACAACATAAAGGTGAGAATTTATGGATGTCAACTTATTTATTTTGAGGAACATGTTTCAGAGTATATCCTTATCCTTGTTCAGGTGAATACTCCAAAATGGTGTGTTCCTCAAAATAAAGGAGTTGACATCCATAAATCTCTCAACCTTTAGGTATATCACTTCTAACACATGTAAGATTTTGTCTTGTCACATGTAAGATTTTCTCTGTCACATGTAAGATACCAGTTTGTTCTGCCATCCCTGATCCGACCCTCGAAGGTCCGGGTTAGAATATTGATCTTCAGTAACCCAAGCTTGTCGTAAGAGGCAACTAACGGGATCGAGTGGTCAGGTTCGCTGACTTGGTTGACACGCTCAATCGTATCCCAAATGCCTAGATTGATGCTCATGATGTTGATCACTGGGTTGTCTGGTCCAGACTTGATTATTTACAGACCGCCGCCATATAGCTTGTATATTGCTGAGTGCGGCGTAAAACTAAACTCACTCACTCATCCCTGATCCATATCATCTTCCTTCAACTCAGCCCCATCTAATGCAAACGCTCAATATAAAGCAAGTCTAGATCTTCCTCTAGTTCAGAATCTCCCATCCCACTGTGTCTCCTTTTCAATTTAAGTGGAGCTACCTGTTATTTTTACACCGGGATATTTTCAGAGACTAGCATTAGTCTAGAAGATGCCTATCTCCTGCCCAGCTGTTGTTGTTTAGCCAGCTACCTGCTGTCGGGATGAACGTGTAACACTGGACAATGTTATACATCACCTCAAGAATGTGTAACCAGCTTATGACACTAATTGTTTGGGGTGTAAATTTATCAGCTGGCAGATAATCCTGTAGGGTTTACATCAGGACATGAGTGATGTGCACAGGAACTGAATATGGCTCTACTAGGCAATTAGTGCTGTTGGATGTACACCCAGTGCTGTTGTCCATGTGTGTTGCCCTACGACCTCTTCAACATACCATGTACACCATACCTCCGTGGAAAAGTTATTACTAAGGAAACTAATTATATTTCATCAGTAAACTTGGAGTAAACCTGACACTGATGCCTGAGTTGAGACGAGGAGCATGTTGTTATAATGAACATGATAATCCAATAGTACGTTCCACATACTACATAGTTACACGAAAAGTTGTTTTGTCTCATTAACGCTTGAAATATATATACACAGAAAAATAGTTACAGACTTAATCATCCCATTACTAACATAGAAACCCACATAAGCCTTTTTCATATCATCTTGTCTTTAGGTCTGGGACGATTCACCGATACATCACGATACATTCTAGTTTGATACAGCTATCGTAACTTCAACTGGTGTATTGATACAAGACGAAACACAACTTATTTACAAAACAGTATTATTTTAAACATGTTAAAGTATTTATTTAGATAAAAAATACGCAAGTATGATAGAGTTACTTGTTTGTTTAATACAATAGTGTTACACAAACACGTTTGAAATAAATGATTTAAAATCTTAATACTGTGTCATTCTTTCCAGGTGTATGTATCGTGATACATATCGTATCGCAGGTAAAGTATCGGTGATACATATAGAATCGTGACATAGTGTATCGTCCCAGCCCTACTTGTCCTTAAATTAAGTTTGCAAAGCTTAAGAGTTGATCTAACAAGTGATGATCTTAACACTCCAGTCTAATGTTAGATGTTATCCATCTGCGTGGACAGATCATGTACAGAAATCATGTTGAATTGCTCACAATACTTGTCTAACTATTTCTTAACTTAATTGTTTGAGATATACTATCTATGAGGACTTTAATATATTGATATTTACATTTTTCAGTGAGTGTGATGCTATTTCAAATTGATACATAAATGGAGGTACGTTGATATACACTTTGACAATCCGGGACTATAGAACTAGGTGGTGCTCATCTAATAGTTCTATTAACTGTAAATAACATTCTACACAAAACCTCATTCCTCTGGGCTTCTGACACATCTCAGTATTAATATTTAATACATCTGATGAGCATCTACATCTGGAAGATGCCATTTATACAGTAGTGGTTTCAGGAATTTCAATAGTCTGTCTCACAGTCCCTGAACCACATTATTTTCCTCCAGCCTAGTCCTTACTACAATGCTGAAGCCCTAAATGAAGCAACTCCAGATTTCCCTGAATTTCCCATCTGACTGGGGCTCCTTTTCAAATAAATTGTTTTATTTGTTACTGTCAAAATTATATATATTCAGTGAGTAAGCATTAGTCTAGGATTCCTAGCATAAATACATATACCAGTTTAACCTGAGTGGACAACACAATCAACGATTTAACCTGTAAACCTTCCGATAGAGAAACAGTAACAGGGAGCAGTCGGTGTAGGTTGGAGCACCAGCATGTGGTGTATATATCAGGCGATACTGTTTGAAGGGTGGTCTTCCTCCAAGGCATATCATTTACGTAAGGGACTTCCAGGGTCAAGTTTGGGAGTCGGGTTACATGGCAGCAGGCTGGCTAATACCCAACAATGTACAGAACTTCCAAGCCTTGGAAATTCTTTACCTAAAAGTACAAGGTGCTCAGAGTGTATTTCTTATCATTTGGAGACCAATAGTTTGGAGCTTAGTCTCCTGATATGGGTACAGCATCAGCTCCTAGCATCCCCGATAGAATCTGTTAACTTAGTAATGATAATGCTGTTGAAGAAGTTCATGTTGTAGCTGGCTTCAGTTTTTACCTGACGTAAGATTTATGGAAAATCCCAGCTAGGCGCTACATCCAACAGATGTCAGACGACCCGAACATATTCTTTGTGGGGAACGAAAACCCTAGCTGCATTGCTACACAGAACGATTTAACACAGAAAAGAAAATGTAGCAATAATCTCATGGTGATATTCAAATAACCATGTGACATTATTAAATCTTAAGTTTATGTGGGTCTGTACGTATTTGCTGAAATTACACATTCTTCTAAATAATTTCAATATCACTCTTGTTTTCCATAAGATATGTATCAACAAAATACCTATCATCTACATCCAAGCCCCAGCATAGATAACAGGACTATGAGACTTCTTAACAATCCAAAGTTGGGTGTTATTCACTGTTAAGTTAAGAGTTTTCCTGTGTTCATGTATAGAACTCAGATAATTCAGAATTTCAAGTTTAATCAGATAATAAACTGATATGAAATGATATATAACTCACTGACTTCATTCTTATGGAATAAGCAGAAATGAAAATGAAGATACAGAACTCCAGATAATTTTTCAACATCAGGAGTACGTACTCCTTATTTTTTTCAATACAGGAGTACTGGAAAAACTTAAGAGCATATTTAGAGTACTGAATAGAATTTAATGGAGCATCAGCAATCCATATTTGTACCACAACATTGCTACTCTTGTGTAAACTGGTCAATAAACAATAAAACAATATTTTTTCAGGTAAATACGTCAGTAAATTATTCTAAGACTGTACACCATTGCTGTGTTGCGTATCTGCTATGTTTTCTAAATTATTTCCTACCCTATCGTGCATAGTTTTTTATCCGGACATACGCCGATACGGCCCTGATCTGGAGCCCTGAGATATATCTACATCACTGGTATACATCTCTGATATAGCCATCTTACAGAAATTAATGTATTAAGTTTCAATCAATCAAACTAAAACTTAAACTGTTCCATCCTGTTGGTCAAAGACATAACCAGTTCTGTATTAACAGTTCTGTATTAACAGTTCCATAATAACCCCAAACAAGTAATATTGTATCTAACACTATGGACAGTTCAAGTATAACAGTTACATATAACCCATAAAGCTAATTTGTTCATTAATGTATTACAAACAAATGACTCAGAAAGTCTTCCTCAATCACAGTAACTGCACTACACAGAGTTACACATGGCGATCCCTACCATTACACTGTTACCCAGTGTTACACATGTGGCAACTGATTGGACATTCACAGATGGTGTTACAAGTGTTATACCACAGCCCTTCATTGCATATCTCAGATTGTACAGGGCCAGGGAAGGTGCCAAGCCACAAGGTGTAATTGCTAATGACTCCAGCTCTTGTTTATTACCAAGAGACTGGAATGTTAATTATCTGGCTAAATGTGTCATAGATTAACAGACTGTATACACATCAGAGCTGGGTGAGGTGCTTACTCACCT